AACGATAATGACCCTGTTCACAAGAAATATTTACGGGAACAAATAAATTCAATTGAAGTAAATAAAAACCATTTAGAAGATAAAATAAGTAATGTGAAAAGATTCTTCAAACATCAACTAAATAATAAAAATTTTATTAATGATACTAAACTACAACAAGAGATAAAAGGTTTAATAAGTTTTATTCAAAAAGAATTATTCAACGTAGCGAATAAAACTGAGTTACAAAATTTAATTTCATTAATATCTAAATTAGAGGATAAGATTGCAAAACAATCAATAGATAACATTCCGGATGAAAATGAAGATACGTTTCAACAGGAATTAAATGCTCTGGAAACTAAAATTAATAGTGAATTACAAAAAGAACTATAAATATTAAACAATAAATACAAAACATAGATGATAGTGAAATCAAAACCTATATTCAACAACAAATACATAATATAGATGATAGCGAAATCAAAACCTATATTCAACAACAAATACAAAATATTGATGATAGTGTTATTCAACAACAGATAACCACTATTAATAACCTAGTTTTGAAACAGGACAAAAATATAGTCGCATTAGAAAAAAAGTTTCTTAAGAAAGAATCATATTATTTCAATCTTCCATTTGGAGGTTTGACTCGTATTGATCCTTCTATTACTGATATATTGATGGATCAAAAGACTATGAATATAAAAAATATGGATTTACAGTAAATATGAGAGTTTATTCTCTTCCAAAAGATATTACTTATCCCGAAGATATTTTTGATGTAGAAAATGATTTTCTTCCAATAAATTTAATTTTCCCATCCAGGTAAAAGTTGATTCATTATTCTTCAAACAACTCGTATTTTCATCTATTAAATCATTTAACGCTCAAAAAGTTCTGCAGTTTATCAATGGTAGAGACAATGTAGAAATTAAACAATATTAAAGTAACAGCGAAAACAACAAGGTTAATCACTTATATGAAATTAAAACGAGTGGAAAATATATAGATAGGTTTAGAATGTTAATCATACCAGATAATAAAGAAGATGGACTTTCATTGAAAGATTTTGATATGATATTGGAAACGGAAAATCCACCATCACTTAGTATTATTAGAAATCCAGAACCAAAAAAAGTAGTAAGCAGTTATCAGTTTTTACGAACGACAGACTTTGAATACGTAAAACTATATTTTGTTGATAATGATATATTTAGCTCAATCGATATTCATAAAAGTCAACAAGATAAAGAATTTATAATATTTTCATCAATTATTGAACGTAATGATGGAACAGAAGTTGGAAGTATATATACCTGTACATGTTCGATAAGAATCTATATCGAAAAACCAAATTTTCAGTTCATCTGAATAAGATTAATAATTCGAAAGAACAAATATCGTTTGTTACTGTAAAAGTTTTTATCAAACCTGAAATAATTATAACAGATAATGAAAAAAATATACCAGTTAAAAATTGAGTGATGTAGTTAATGTTAAACACTTTCCATCTTTGCTTTATCAGAAATTCATTTAATTACCTAAAAAATGGAACTCGAAACTAGACAACAATATATGATAGACAAACTAAACGAACTAAAAGAAAAACTAAAACAATTCAACAAATGTAGAAAAACATGGAGTAGAATCGATTCTGTTTTCAAAAACATTAAGTACAGTTTTAACAGTAGGGATAACGGTGGCAACAGCCGTAACCGGTGAATTAATGCTTCCAATAATTGTCCCAACTGTATTAGACGCGTTCACTGCCGTTCAAACTTCATCTTGTGGTTTGATTACTTTAGGTTTTAGATCAAAACAGAAAGCTCATTATAAAAAGAAAACAGAAATTTTAAATACATATCTTAATAAATTATTCATTTTTTCGAAAGATCGAGAGAAGACAAGAACATAACAGTTGAAGAATTAGAAAAATTCAATGAAATTTTAGATAAATTTGATGTAGAAATATCATCAATAAAAGTTAAAAATTCCTATAGATACTTAAAAAAGAAAATGGATAAAATTGGAAATTTAAACAAACCTCTATCTAAAACACTTTTTTCAAGGATATTCGAGGCAATACCTAATTTATTTTCGCGTAAATTTGACGAAGAAGATGAAGAAAAATTTAAATATGTAGTTGATAGGACAACCGATATTTTTAAAAATTGGGAGAATGAAATTAAAATATCAACCACAAATATGCTTTTTTCAGAATTAATCAAGAGAATAGCTATTCTATTTAATGATTTTAAAATTAAAGGTCAAATTGAAATAAATGGTCAAATATATGAAAAGGGGGAATATAAACAAGACATGAGATTTTCTGGATTTAATGCTCAAACTTTCAAGATTAATCATTCAAAGATGCATGATAAATCTGACGCCTCTGATTGGTATTTTACAGGAGAGATTATTTTCTGCAAAAATAATTTTAGTATAGTAAAAAGATCTAAAACTGGCAGAGGTGGTAATCTACTTAAAAAGATAAATGAATACAAAGGCGAAAATTGTTACATACCAAGCGATGGTTATTGTTTTATAAAGTGTGTAAATCACTTCATGAATAAAGACTTAATAAAGGAATTTCAAGATTTCGTCAACAGTTTTCAAAAAGCATAAAGAAAAGGAGTGATGACAGTTGGAAGAATTAAGATATTCAACGATCGATTTAATACAAATTTTCAAATCTATAACCCTAAAGACAGTCATTTTCAACCAAGATATGTAAACATAGACTTAGATTGGGTTTTTTATTTACACAAAGAACATTTCTGTTTGATAAGAAGAAATAATAAAGCTTTAGGTATTAATGAAATAGAAGATACTTTCGATGAAAATGTATGGAGAACCTGCGGGAATGATGATGCAGTAACATGTTTTGCTCAATTAAAACTAAACGTGATTTCACAACCTCATGATGATACTTTATTCGCTTGGGATTGCGAAACCTATAGCGAAAATAAAGCTATTCCTTATAGTTGTTGGAAAAACTAAGTAAAAAACTAGAACTAATTAAAAGAGATTCCCAGATTTAAAGCCAACTGATCCCATTCCAGAAGAATATTACAACAAACTCATGGCTAATATAGTAGAAATATTTGTAGGAACAGATTGTTTCGATCAGATGTTGTGTCGTTTAGGTACAGTAGATCAAAAAAGACTAACCTTAATTGCTCATAACGCCAGTGGTTTTGACAACTGGATTGCACTTCAAAGCATTAATAAACTAACACAATGTCCACTAGTAACAGATAAAAATATTCTATCTCTTCCTTTATCTAATCCATATACAGAAGAAAGATTGCAGAAAAAGTGGAAAAGAGAGAAAAAAATATCTGATAAAAATAACTATTTACAAAACATATGTCTCACTTGTTCCTATCAACATGAAAAATCTAGTTTGGCGAAATGGGGTAATTCAGCCAATCTACCAATGAATTTAAGAAAAATAATGAATGTAGACATTGTTAAATACACCAAAGATAATTGGGAATCTTTAAAACACGAATGGGAACCTTACGCTAAAAGAGATACGTTATGTCTCGGATTGTCTGAAGCTATGAAAGAAACTGTCTTCCAAAACGTTTCAAATAATCTAACGGCTCCTTCTTTATCTTTAAAGGGTTGGTATTATTTATATCATTACGATAAAGAAATGGTAGAAGAAGAATGGTATGAAACTACTAGAATGGTTCCGAAACACATTGAAAAAGAAAAAAATAGAAAAAGTTTATTCACATACTCATCCTTTTATAAGATATTTTATCAGACAATCCATTAAAGGAGGAAGAGTTTCTGCTAACAGAAAATCATTTGAAACGAATAAAATGGATGAGATTTGCGCCATTTTAAAGGAGTATTTGGAAAGTGACACTGAAGGAATAATAGATTTATTCAAAGAATACAGTGCTAGGACGAAAGATAAAACTCAAAGAGCTGAACTATTCTAAACTGATGGTATTTGACGCTAATGGGTTGTACGCCTCTGCTATGACAGAAGGTGAATATCCAAAAGCTGAAAGTGCAAGACCGTTTCTACCAGAAGAAAATATAGAATTTGTTAAGCTCTTTAATGAGCAGAAATTCAGACCTAGAACTGCTATTTTAAAAGTCTGGTTTCAATATCCCAAAAATATCTTCCAACCGATACCAGCTAAAGATAAAATCACTTTTACGAATAGAATAGGAAAGAAGGAAACTGGCACTAAAATCAGGTTCAGAAATGGTTTCTGTTCAGATGTTTTAACATCGGTCGATATTCAAGAAATAGTGAAAGCCGGTGGACGCATCATTAAAATATTAGATGGTATGGTTTACGAAAAAAAATTTAAAACTCCACCCTATAGAGATTATATTTCAATTTTGAAAGGAATTAAGGAATAAATACAAAAAGGAAGGAGATGTGGTTGCCAGTAACTGCATGAAGTTGTTAGGTAATTCCTTATATGGTAAATCTATTCAGAGGAATAGAAATACCTCATTGCATTTATGGAATGAAGAAACCTTCCGCTTTAATTACGACAAACACGTCAAGAAGTATGACAAACTAAATGATAGTCAATATATCGTTGAGATAAATGAAGAAGGATTTTACGAGATTAACACCGACTCATTTAGGTACATTTATATTATCTCACAGTAAAAGAATAATGAACAATTTTATTCACGTAATAGATGGTTTTTATAAACCAGAAATATACTATACGGATACCGATAGTTTATACATTTCGTCGAGCAATTGGGATAATTTAATTGAAGGTGGGTTGGTGTCCGAAAACGTTTAAGGGTCACTCTAACTATAAGATTAATGATAATTATAATGATTATATTCAGTTAGCTAGTGGACATGACGTAACGAATGAATTTGATAAACCATGGGGGAAGAGTTTTACTGATGGAATAGTTATTCCTAATGAAAAACAAACTAAAAAATTTAGAAGTTATCTGAATCTCATAAAGAGAAAAGCACCGGACGATGAAGGAAAAATGTATCCTTACAACTCTGTGCTTGGATGAAAACTACGAATTTGATGATTTTGATTATTTTTCAAATGTATCTAATGATGATCCATCAGAATAAATTTAGTTCTTTTGTTTTAAATGAAGTTCCTCGTTACCAAAATCTATAAACCTATTTTTACCATCTTTGATTTCCAGATTTATATCTTTAATCATAAAGGAATTAAGTGGAAAATACGTCGTTTGAAATGGTTTCTCTATAATCCTAGTAACGCATTCAATGAATTTTCTACATTGAAATCAAATTGACTATTATTTCTTAATATCAATTTTATTTTGTTCAGATTCAAATTACCTTCGAATTCAATATTGTTTTTACCATTTACACTTCATCATCTTCATATTCATCAGGAATAACTTTATTTAAATATATTTGAACTGCTTTCGATCTTCTTGTTTCGGGTCCCGACTTTCTTATTGCATGTAGAAATTTTGAGTATGCTAGTAAATCCTTGTAATCAGCAATGCCAATATACCCGCCATTCAGGTTTTTTGTATCGATTTTGAATATAGGGGAATTTGACTTAAATTTAATTCTAAATCCATTAAACAATAACCCCTCATCATCAATGATTGGTGTAATACTCTTTGGTAAATCTGCTTTAGGGTTTGAAAAAAGACTATTAATATCATCTAATGTCCTAATTATAATACCACCATATGGATTCGGTTCTGGGTGATGAGGTTCTATAGGAGGTATGGGTTCTATAGGAGGGATGAGTCTCTTTTTAATATCCTCTTGAAATTTTAATATGGGTTTAAATAGATTTTGTAGATTTTCCGTTAATCCGAGTTGTTGTAATCTGTTATTTTCAACTTGGGTATTTATTTTATTCTTAGCTTTGATATATTCTTTATTTCTTTTTAAAATATTATTCCAATCGTTACTCATTTTTAAAAAAATAAAATTAACATATGTCGATCATAACTCTTTCACCCGCAGGTTTTCTAGTATTTACAAATACATATCCATGTTCATCTGGGTTTCTCCATTGAGCTTTACAAACTTTTTTGAATTTATCTCTGTCCATTCCGTGATTTATCGACTGAATGATTTGAGATAAATCTTTATCGTTTAATTCGAATAATAAAAAACAATTTGCATTTTTTCTAATAAACATACAATCCATCCCGTAAAAAGATTGAGATTGGTATATGCAGTGACAGTTGTGATGTCTTCCCATCGTGAAGAATTCTTGTTGAACAGCTTGATTTCTTTGCGCAACGCAGTCGTCAAACAATATTAAGTTCTTTCGTTTGCTATCAATATTAGACAAGTCTAGATCATTAACATTTTTGGTAAGAAAAACTTTTATATCCGTTGGATTCTTTCCTTCGATGTAGTTATCTATGATATCTTTTATTCGTAATATTGAAATAGGTCTTGAACATCTTTCTTTGGTAGATATTCTAAAGCTTTGAGAAATTGATAATACGATTACTCTGGTGTTGTTGTGTAGATATACAAAGAATCGAAATCTAAAAGGTTTGGTGTTGTCAACATGTTAAAAGTGAGATGAGTTTTCCCAGAACCGGAACTACCGCATATACACATTAGCATTGGGTTATTAGGAAATATTTCTAAATGATTAAATTTGTTACCCATTTTTATTATTTTATTTTATTCCAAAAATCACTCCTTCTCCTTTATACTTTGAAAGAAATATTCCTTCTCCAGTGTGTATATTTTTTAAAAATATTCTATTACCCTTATGTTTGACTTTGACTTCTCCTGTGTCAATACTATCTACTAATTTATTTAATCCTTGTTTAACAGTTTTCTTGGTTTCTTCCCCAAATCTTTTTCCAAATTCTTTTATTGTGCCTATCATATCTCCCACTCCTGAACCTCGTGCTTCCTTTTCAATTGCTAAATTGTGTCTGCGTTCTTCAGCGGCTTTAGCATCAGCTGCTTTCTTTGCGTTGGCAGCTTTGACTGCGGCAGATATTCTTCCAGTAGCTGCACCCACCGCTGCAATACCATCAAATATTAAAGGTAGAAGGAAAGGTAAAAATCCACCTTCTTTTGCGTTCGCGTCAATTCTTTCTAAATCTATATCGTCTCTGACTTTACAATATTTGTATTTATCAATAAGTTTTTTCGTTATGCTGAATTTTTTACCGTTGAAAGTTATTACAGCTGGTGAAGCTGTTACAATAGCTTCTATTATATTCATAACTAAAGTTTCTGGTTTCATTTTTAAGGGTGTATTTTTTACTCAATTCTTATCATTCTTCTATCTGCTATTTTAATTAAATGTTTTGCTTCTTCCAATAATAAACAATAACCTGTTACATCTCCTTGTGTTTTTTCAATATGAATATTTATGTTGACTCCCGTTTTGAAAAGATCTTCTTGGTGAGCTGATAGATCAAAACAGAAGATTGGATGATTAAGTGCAAAATCTACATATTCAAACTGAGGTGGATTTCCAAATAATTCACACATATTTTTATAGTTTCTATACAATTCATTATAATCATTTGTGGTTGG